GCATTTAAACGCGAAGTTTCCCCCTAAAAGTGGAGCGTTAAAAACGGAGCTCGCGTAAAATAGATCGATGATCACGATGACCAGCGCTCAGGAAGGAGAAGATGCCTGTGGGAGGCGTCCCGGTGGTGGTGGTGATGCCGATACCCTCGTGGCCGAGGTATCGGGCTGAAGGGTGCGAAAGGGGGCGGTTCATCTTCGCCGGCAATATCGGCCGACTGTTTCGGTCTCCGGCTCTCTCCGGGTGTGTTATCCAGCGAATCGACTGTTTGACGAGAAGCTCATCCCGATCGTAAACAGCGCTATTATACCTCGCGACGCGGATTCACGGCCCACCACCTTCCGACGGTGATGACGACGACGACGATATTTCTCTCGCCGGCTCTCGTTCGGGATCGAACTGCGGCTCCTACGGAATGTGTCTTTCTCTCTCTCTCTCTCTCTCCGCGAAGCGTAAGCGGAGGTAATCCTCGCGCGGCTACGAGGACCCCGTGACATTTCCGAGTATACACGAGATAACGGGCAAGATGAAGGGCGGCCGGGGGAGGCCGAGTGGGACCGGGATCCCGTCGTTGAGTATCCGTAAAACGCACTCTCGTAAGGGCCGTAAACCGTGGCCAAACAAACCCGAAATAGCCGGTCGACGGTGAGCCGAGCCCCGGACTGAGAGACAGAGAAAGGAGAGAGAGAGAGAGAGAGAGAGAGCCCTGACGAGAAGAGGCGAAGGCGCTGACTCCTCGCGCGCTGACGCCGCGCGCGTCTGTATTCTCGGCCGCAAATAAATAATAAACGCTACGCGCGCAACCCGTCGCCGGTCCTCCCTGCCTGCCTGGCTGGCTGCCTGTGAAAGCCGCGCCCTGGACGACGAGGCATCGCTCGTTCGGACGGACGGACCCCCTTTACGACCGACGGATGCTCCAGAAACGGCCGACGCGAACGAAAGTAACCGGTAACCGCCAGATAAAGTGGTTACACAACTCGCTTCCGCGAGTGTTGCCGCGCGCGCGGCTTCGTTTCCTGCGGACGAGAGGAAACGAGAGGAGGTCTCTCTCTCTTTTTTTTTCATCTCTCGGTCTCTCTCTTTTTCGGTGAAAACTCGCGGGTTCGCAATTCGCGGACCGTCAACGTGTTCGAGGTGCGCGTGTTTCACGGAGCGTCAATGTCTAATTGTGTCTCCTTCGTTCGCGAGTCACGACTTCGAGGAGGGTCTCGTTAGAATGTTTCGAATAGATTTCGCGGTAACTGTTCTTTTATGTTCGGTATTAGAGACGAGATCGATTCAGTGGAAGGGGTAGAATTTTTGGAAAAATTGGCGATGATGAAAAATCTGCGAAACAAAAGGAAAAAATTGATGTCTGTACTCGTATGGAAATTTCCCAAATGTTCCCAGATGTAGCATAGACACGGCTGCGGAGAGATGGCGGGTCGTCGACGGATCAACGCATACTTAATTTTGCGATTTATCGTATCTTAAAGAAATATATATATACATATACGTACATCCTTCTCCTAGAATTTTGATTAAAAAACGGAACAAATCTTAGCCATCAACCCGATAATAATAAAGCAATGTTCACTAAAATATCCGCCGTCGTTTACCGCCATCTTTTAGGCGATCGTCCGATTCCGCGTCTGCGAGGTGACTCATTTTGCGAGCCAATAAAATCATCGACGGTTCGACGAACTTTCGCCAGTCCCCGATAAGATATAAAATTTAATTTCTACTAAAACTTAAATATATAACAAAGAGAAGCTTACCATTTAACTTACCATTTAACTATGCGACAAAGATAAGATCTTATTTAACCGTGATAAGTATGATAACGAAATATGATTCAGCTATGATAACGACCACGACGCAGGGGGCGGAGGATCACATTACGGGGTGGAGAATAACAAGTCGTTATGTTATTGCGGGTACATCGGTAACGTTAATTACCATCCCGAATAGCAAGCGCGCGCTCTCTTGCCACTTTTCGAGAGCGCGCGCGATCCCTCGGCTCCCTCTCTACTCCCGTCGATACACACCGTGACCACTATCTCCTTCCCGTTGGTGCCCTTAGGGCGGCGGCGGGGTGCGCTTCCGAACCCTAAAAAGCCACACCCTCGATTCTCATTAAGATTTACCGTGTAAACGAGCGTTGCCCGTGTCCGGACGGCGCTACTAATCGAACCCTTCGCCGAAAGAATTGAAAACAGCCGACGCGCGGCCAGCGTGTCCCGGGGCTTTTAGGAGAACGAGATCGGCCGGCGTTTAAAGGTAGGGTTAGCGGCCGAGGCGGGGTGGAACGAGACGCGGTTTTGTGTCCGGTCGATTTACATTTAACGAAATTGCCGCTCAGCGCCGGCACAATTATCAGCAGATTAATCCGCGCCTCGGTGTTGTCGGAACGATCGCGCGCTCCTCCTCAGGGAGCCCGACTCGAAATTTCGCCTCTGCTCCCGACCTTAACTTCTTAACGCTTGTAAGTCAAAAGGTTGCGATAAATCTGATTTACTCACGCGGAAGAAAGATCGGTTGAATTCATGTGGCAGCACGGGAAAAGAAATTAGCTCTCCGTATAATACGAATTTAGTTAATTTAGCTAATTTTTTTTGTCCCTGTACCTAGCTTTTAGCTTCCACAGCTGCTAAATTCAAAACTAGGTATAGGGACAAAAAAATTAGGTAAATTAATTAAATTTCAATTATATTACACGGACGGCTAATTTTTACTTCTGAGAGCTGGTTTTTAACCGTGGGGAGCTAATTCTTTTTTTTTCGTGAGTGAACGGTCCATATTGCAAATCAAACCCCGGCTCTCAAGAAACAGAAATTCTTCTTCAAGGCCTAAAAGCGCCCGGTTCGTTCGTTGTCACGTTAATACAGCCAATCTTTTTTCTCCGTGTGTGGGAATTAGGAATCAAGGCCTTCCCTGTCTAATTCAACCTAACACATTATAAAAAGACGTTTTTATCGTTGCATTTCCATAAAATCGCCGTCGTTTGCGTTTGAGGGCGAGGGGCAACGGGGAACTCAGATCGGCACGAGTCGGCCGATTAATCGGGTCGGAATACGGTAATCAGAATGACACGGGAGCTTTACGGAGCTTTAAAGAGCCTGATACATTGTTGTCGTCGTGTGAAACCGTCGTCGTCAGCCGGGAAAGAAAGATAGATAGAGAGAGAGAGAGAGAGAGAGAGAGAAAGGGCGAGCGAGTTTAGTTAGAAGAGCCTAACTCACTTGCTTGGCTTTCCTCCTGACTTGGTTCACGATACCGAGGCTACGAGACGGGGCTACGGCTTCTCTCGTCCTCCCCGTATCCTGTGTTCCCCTGCCCCCTCCGACCCTCCCGCGTTTCACCCTCCGTGTCTCTCCCATCCTCCTTTCGGCCCTTCGTCCTCTCTCCCCCTCTATAATTTTCACCCGAATACCTGCTCTAATTATAGGTGGTTCGTCACGGCGAGGAGAGAGAGAGAAAGAGAGAGAGAGAGAGAGCGAGAAAGAGAGAAAGGAGAGTGCGTATCCTCTCTCATGGTGTTGTCGGTAGCTCCGCGTTCTCGAGCCGCACATCCTCGTGTGTAGATATTTCATCGTAAAACGTGCCCCGTAAGACGATCCGTCGTAACGCCGACCACCGGGTTCTCTCGATAACGGACAGCGCGCGCGCCGGCTTACCTTGGCTCCGATAGCGTCGGCTCGAATCCGGAGTCGGTAGTTAGACCGCATCGCGGAAAGATGCACGCGCTCGTCGAATGAAGATTACGCGTTTGGAGCGTGCGAGCGCGCGCGAGCCCGCCACAAGTGTATTATTTATGAGCGATAATAAAAGGCGAATGGTAAATCCGACGGGATCACCTTCCGGTAAAAAAGCGAGAGGCACGGGTAGTTCGCGCGTAGCTTGTTCCCTTGCCGTTACTTTGTGGTACCGTTCGCACATCGTATACCTTTGCGACATACTGATTTCTTGACCGCGGCAATGTGAAATTAATTTTTTATCGTAACTTCCGTAATTTATTTCTACATAGTTACTTCGTAACTTTTACTTGGTAAAAGTTTCTTGCGTTCGTTCGGTTAATTTTTTTTATTAATATAGCTCTTGGGTTCATTAAAAGTAAATTATTTCCGGTTTGCGCAGCAACTTCGGCGCACTGACATATTCTTATCTCTCTCTCTCTCTCTTTGTGTGTCTGATTATAATTTATTTCTCTATCATTATTCCACGAGATTTATTTGTTTCTATTGCTGTGTAATAAGAGAATAATTTCTACCTGCGAACATCTGCACCCCTTGGCAATCTATCAGCTCAATTTAAAACTCATTTAGTTCTTCTTAATAACAAGGCACCTTATCCCCTAAAAAGGTCTCGGCCCGATCAAGCATACAACAATAATAAAACTTAAGCAACAATCGTGTAATAATTAATGATCGTCCAAAATGTATTGTTCAGGATCTCCCGAGGAAACGAGCGAGCGAATAAGACCCCGACGCGTCGACCGATCGTCAATTTGGTTAGCTCCCGCAGAAATTTTCCCACATTATTCCGCATATACAGCGCAGATTCCGATTAGAATATCCAAAGTTGTCCCAAAGTAAGTTATCCTGCTATGATGGCAATCCTATTTTTATCTCAAACATGGAATGAAGCTTATTTTCCGCGATTCGAATCGTAGTGCAAAATGGAAAGCGGAAAAAATCTTCGGGAAAACGTCGGAGATGATATCTGCTCACGCTTCCCACTCATTGGGTTAATGCAAGAGTTCATTCTGTTTCTCAATCAAAATATAATACCTAACACATTTATTTATTTAAAAACCCAATCAAGTACACGTCCATTTTGTTCAATGACGAATCGATCGGGAAATGAAACGAACTTCTGCAACTCAACCGAATCGTGTGTTCATTTCCCAGCTAGAATTCACGGAATGATTTCGGGAGGTCGAACTGTGATCCCAATTAGATACCGAGAAATTTTCTATGCTGCTCGCGTCATGCTTATCACGTGTGGCATTGTGCGATTGCAGGTACCTGGGGCTGGAGCCGAGGCTGACATCCGGCACGATCCAAAGCGGCGGTGCCGAATCGCAGACGCAGATCACCGGCGCGGGTGTGATCGGGCCGGCGAGCGCCGAAAAGACCTGCAAGAGCGCACACCTGACCGTCAAGCAGCAGGCGATATGCTCTCGCTCGCCACCCGTCCTGCAGGTATTTACCTCGCGGCAGGCCTGAGGCCTTTTCTCTCTCTCTCTCTCTCTCTCTCTTTCTCTTCCTCTCTCTCTATCTCTCTTGGATTAATAGCCGGGGAAGCACGCGGCTAATTCGATTCGCGGGACCTACGACCGCGTGCCGAACGAAAGAATCCCCTTCGGCCTTCTCCTCGCGAGTCGCTCGCCCGAGAGAATCTCTCCGCTCAAAATTTCGCAGCTCGCCGGCAGCTCTCCGCATCGGTGTGTGCGTGTGTGCGTGCGTACGTGTGTTGTGCGTGGCATTTGCCGCGACAGATACGCTTCGTCTCTCGATAAGCGAATCGACGTTTTGCGATTAGTGCCGACACGGTGATTGCCGCGTTGGTTTCCATCGACTGTGCGAAAGCTTGACTGACGATTAAATCGGTGGTACACGGTGAGTCAGTGCAATTAGAGACGCGTGTACCTTTCGTCTCGTCTTTCACGTGCAATTAGAGACGCGTGTAGCTTTCGTCGTTATCGGCTTTCTATTGGCCGTATGGTCGCGATCGTAAGTACAATTAATTATACTTTATGTACGACTTGATTCGACACGCTAGTGTGATAGTACCTTGTTAAAGTAACATACAAATTTCAGCGGACCGTTTTTAACACAAAATCTTTTACTGTGTGCTTAGTGGATATTGTTTCCTTTCTTTTCGAACTCTTTTTTTTCTGTTTGCCTTTTTTCCAATATTTCTGCTTTAGTTACATATATTAAACAGTGCTTCCCGTTAATAAAAATTATTATTATTGTTACATTGATATAGTGATATATAGTAGTTACACAAAATATACCGAAGATTTAGTGCGGTTTATCCTGAGAGATCACGATGAAATCGGCGCTCTCTCGGTACTTTTCATCGGCTTTCCTCTTCGGCGGTCCAAGAACGGAAAAGACTCGGCCGGTTCACGATATTCAGCTCTCACGACAATGGAGAACGAGGAGAGAGGCGGTGATATATACGGACAACAGACACAGTGTGTGTTGGAACGAATTTGTCTCTTACGATCGGTATCGGCGCCGTGGCCGTCGGTTCACAGTCGGCACCGGCCCGTGACGAAAACCGGCACGAGGTGTTGCGGTTCGCTCCCCGCTCGCCGAAAATTACCGTTTACCTTTCCCTAATGCACGAAACTTGTCGGGGGTGAGAGCCGGATGAAAGAAAGAGGAGAGAGAGAGAGAGAGAGTGAACAGCGAGGGGAAAGCTGGGCCCTGTCTAGGAATCTAGGTACCTAGGTAAACTGGACAACCTTCGGGAGGCCTCCGATATCTCTTTGAACGCCGCCGACAACGGTGAACACGCGCACCCGTCGGTTCCCCTCTGCCGCAGTCTCCGACAAAAGGGCCGAGAACGCATGAATATTCATATGTCAATCCTCCGATATCGGAGTTCGATTTTTTAACGAGCGACCGAGCCCGTTAAAAGAGACGGCTGTGCAACAAGCAACGCCGGCCCGGCGACGTGCGGAATGCCCGTCGTTCGATATTAACATTTATCGCCGGTCGATTTACAGGCTCGACGTCGTCCTCGTCGTCCTCGTTGACGTCGACGTCGTCGATGCGTCTTTTGTTGCGCTCTCGCTGCTTCGTTCGGGGATTCAGCGGAAATTTCAGCGGTAATTGAAAATGAAACAATAAGCGATAGCGATACGTGAGTCAAGTTGCCGATGGAATTTCTGGTGTGACAAAGTTAAAAAGATCCAAACGATAAGCCGTTGGCGAAGAGCCGGGGTATTGCCGTGACGGAAATTGGCACGCTAATTAAGCGTCTCGGCGCGTTTTTGACACGGCCTCGTTTAATCCGAAATTCGGTCGCTATTTTTGGCGACTGTTATTAGAGGCACGAGAAAGTTCGGATTTTTGGCTATATTTTTCTTTTATTAATAGCCATATTTCCAAAAATTGATTTTTCGAATTTTACTTTATGATATTAATTTATATTATTAACGAGACAATACGTGGCTTGCTGTCATCTTTCAAATAATTGTCTAATTCCACGTTTCCACGATGACTCGTTTGTTTAATTTAGAAGATCGTCGACGATCCCATGAAATTTTGCAGTAGATAATTTGTTTATTTATCCATTTACCTACATTGTGAGAAAAAATTAAAAAAATATTTATTCAATGAGCAGTCAAGCTGTCGATCATTTTTGTACGCGGTAGAAAATCAGAGCGTGATAACAATGCATTATCCATACTTTACTTATTAAATTATTACTTAACTTAAAGGATTTTATTATTTACACTGAGAGAGAAAACGTCTATGAAATAAAAAAAATTTTTTCGGTGAGTATTAATAACATATTTACACGAAGATACATATTTTTACATTGAAAAAAAAAAGAATATATATTCATTTTTTTAAATCTGTAGTCTCTCATGAAAACAATTGTTTATTGTATTTAAATAAAAGAACAGATTTAAATGAATATGTCGTTAGTACTCACCGAGTAAATATTTTCTATCTTTTAGATATTTTTTCTCTCAATGTACGAAAATAAAGTCTTTTGGAGGTGTACCAAATGAAAGAACAGAGATAAGTTGTAAGGGACAGAAGCAAATTAAGTAATAATTTTAATCAAGCAAAAGGTAGAGATAAAGCATTTCCATCACCCTCCTTTCCTCCGCATGCGAAAATCATCGACAGCTCGTGTTTCCCGCGGAGGAGACCGAAGATAGCCATGAGAGCCACGCGCGTGAGAGGAGCGCGTTAACCTTTCGTTTTGTTTCACGTCGTTTCACTTCATTTCACCGAAACATTCGTCGTTTCCGTTCGATGCGAGGAAAAGTCGTTCGGTCGTCGGCGCGTCCGCAGGCGGCGCGTCTCCCGAGAGAAGAGTACTCTCTCTTTCCCGAGCGAGCCCTCATCGTCGGTTCTTACTTTGCTTGCAGGCGGTGAGCGCTGGTGCCAGGCTCGCCATCGAGGAGTGTCAGCACCAGTTTAGATCGGCGAGATGGAACTGTTCCGTCAGCCCGGAAAATCCCGAGAACGTGTTTGGCGGCGTCACGTTAGTCAGTAAGTGCTCTCTGTCTGTCTTTTCGCGGTTCGTCGCGTTTAACACGGCCGGCGTCATGCCGCATTTCGAATGTGTTTCACTTCTCTCCGGAGTTCGCTCTTTTTCTCTCCCTCTCTCTTTCTCTCTCCCTCTCTCCTTCCCTCTTTCACTCTCTTTCTCTCTTTCGGTTGGAGAAAGAAAGAGAGAAAAAGAGAGTCTATTGCGCGCTTGTGGGCGCATTCGCACTCTCTCCTTCATGTGGAAGTGAGTGCGCCCGACCAAGTGGCCACCACGCGACTTGCAGCCACTGATAAAAACGTGCGTTTCGCAGATAGCCGAGAGGCCGCGTTCATTTATGCCATATCAGCAGCCGGGGTCGCTTACAGCGTCACGAGGGCCTGTTCCAGGGGCGAGCTCACCGACTGCTCCTGCGACAATCGAGTGCGAACGCGACGTCCGAACAACTGGCAGTGGGGAGGATGCAGCGAAGTGAGTGAGAATTTTTCCGTCTTTTCTCTTCCTCGATGTGCGCGCTTCAGTTGTACGACATAGCGACACGCGTGGTCCCCGGTGCGCGGTATCGATTTTGTATCGCGAGATCGTATTGTACTGAGGTGGAAATATCCCAAAAACCAAGAAATATTTGACAATTGCGTCTTTGTATCAAGAAGAGAGAAGCCTCTTAGCGGCCATTACGTTGCGCTAAACTTGGGTTTAATTTCAGAGCTATTTTGGCTTTTGCGTCAAGAGAAAAGTCTATTCTATTTAAATAGTTTTATTTAATCTAGTCTATTTAAGCGGAAAAATTTCGATTTATGGAAATATATCATTAGTACCTCCGAACGAATATTTTCTATGTTTATATTTTTCCTCTCAGCGCCAATTATTTAACATTTTTTATCGTCATAAATTTTGTACTGTTTTTATCATTTATCATTTTTTTTCAAACTGTTGTTATTATTTGTTATTATTTCTTAAACAGTTTCCTTTTAAAGGACATTTATACAATTGTATTATCACTAATATGTGTGTGAATGATTATACTCATATTTTTATTTATCACATTACCGCCATCACCATTCACACGTCACAATTTGTATTAGATTTGTGTTATTTTTCTATGTTATTGACGATGATTCGGTAGCGGTGACGCGACGGTCTCGAAATCTCGGTGGACTCGCGAGCCGGAGACGAGCGACCGCGCGAAACAGATTTTCCGCCGCAGGTAAGCCGCTCTGGCGTTCCGCGACACGTGGGGCATTGCGCGGAGGGTTTTTAAACTTGCTCATCGATCTTCGGCCGACATCTCCTTTACCCGGCTGTCTTTCATCGGCGGGTCGTCTCACGACGGAAATTTTAATACCAGCCAGAAGACAAAGCTCGGGCAGTAAACGGATGCGTTTCATGCGAACGGCTGACCCCTTGTAGACATTGCCGGCTTACAAGGGGATTAAGGGAGCTAAGCTTGTTAAGTTGCAACAACCCACCGCCGCCCGTCCCTTCGCTCGCTCGCTCCCGCCTGCAATCCGGACACACGTAACTTACTCGAGCACGAGGAACAACGAGGAGTTCGCACGCATATATCGTACATGTATGCACACGTGTGTGTACACGTAGTCGCTCGCACGCGCGCGCGCGCGCGTGACACGTGCAGAAGAGGTTGAGTTGTTACACACGCTCATTCGGCCGGGGGAGTATCGACGAGATCGCAACGGGAACGCGTCTTACTTTTGCGTATTGAGGCGATAATTCTCTCCTGCTTGAGTTTAACTGGCCGCGGAGGCGGCGCCAACCATCGCCGGGTCGCGATCATTCGACGTGTGAGCGCGCGATTAACGCTTTCCCTCGAAATGTATTTTCACGCTCGAAAGGCGATATCGATTTGTCGCGAAATCACATTCTTCTAGAATCACTTCTAGAAGAAGAAAAAGAAGAGGAATTCTTCTTCGTCGGAGATAAAAGGGATTTTTTTTATTCTTATTATTTCCTTTCCTTTTCTTATCATTTCTTCCAAACAACTCGTGATGTTATTATTTCTTAAATACTTAAAAAAAAAACGTTTTCCTTTCTCAGGTAATTTTTCTTACTATTAATTCCAAGTAATTCTTACCATTTGTTTCTTATTATTTTCTAAATATTTTCCTCTTAGAAATTCTTCTCTCTGTTAGATAAATTCTCTTTTTACTTTTTAGAAAAATAATGTTTATTATTTATTATCCCTCCCATCGCATCGTTCGGCTCTTCCTGGTTTACCCCGTCTCTCGATTTTAACTCGGGGAGTTTCTTTATCGCGGGAGCCACGGGTACGAAACGTGGCGAAGATTGCAAGGTCGAATGTATCTTAACGAGGGTGCTCTCGCCGGAGAAATGTCCCGGCGACAGATCTCGGCGGTAATGATGTTTGCCCGCTCCTGGCGTGTCTCGGAGGCAGCCGGCGGTAGCGAGGGTTCGCTTTAACCGGACTGAGGCGGCGGGCTGTCATCGATAAGTCGACGTGCGTGATGCCGCTCGAGAAAGAGGAAGAGAGAGAGACGGAGAGCTGCTCACGGCAAGGATTACGTTTAGACAGCATCTGACAGCGAAAGCAAAGAGGGCACGTTATAGTCTCCTGCCGTCTCGCTGACGCGTGTCGGGAAATATTCGGCAGCGACGAGGATGTACGGAAATAATAGCCGAAGTATCGTTCCGCTGTTGAGTCCAACCCTCCGAATGGAACCCCATTCTGGCAACGAAAGTGAAATGACTCGATGCCATCCGCGATATGAAATGCACAAAATTCGTAGGAACAATAACGTAAAATGTGGTACGACATATAATAATATAATATAAGAAAAGAGAGAGAGAGAGAGAGAGAGATGAGGAACACACAAAAATATTATAATATTTATATTAAAAATATATGAAAACATCGGGCATTTGTCAAATGAAAACGATAACGAAATACTTTATTAATTGATCATTTTTGCGAATAAAATAGACACAACATCGACTGAGTATTATTATTATTTTTTTCTTCTCAGAAATTCAACGAGTTTATTTTTCTTTTATACCTATGCGAATCGGCAACTTTCTACGAACGCGAGGATTTGCCAGAAAAATGGAAGACTCTTCTCGGCGACTTGATTCATTTAGAACCCCTTTGAATTGCGCTTGATACTTATTCGGAACGCAGTGCGACGAGATCGGCGCCGTTCGTCTCTTTGCACAACAACTCACACGTCCGACCACGCGTGGCGAAACTCGCAGCGCGCATTCGTAACTGCGAATCGCGCGTAAAGCTGCCTCCGAAGTTTCACAGCCCGGGGGGTCCTTAAGTGGCCTACGCGTCCTACGCGAAAATCCTCGCTGAGCTTAGGATCTATCCGCTTAATCTCTGCGGCCATTGTCGACTGCGGGGCCGTGAAACGCGAGGAACGGACGGACGCGCTTTAAAGGACGCCTTAATCTTTCGGACGCTCGTTAGTCGTCGTCCCGTTACCTTCGTCTCTTTCTCCGCGGAATCTCACGTTGTCTGTGAGAATATGAGTAACAATGTGTTGGTCGCACGCAGGATATCCACTTCGGTGAGAAGTTCTCGCGAGAATGGTCCGACGGCGGCGAGGAACCGGTGAAAGAAGGCGTCCTCCACGGACCGAAAGGGCTAGCTGGCCAGCTGATGAGGAAACACGATAGCGAGGCCGGCAGACGCGCCATTCGCTCTAGGATGCAACGTGTGTGCAAGTGTCACGGTGAGCCAGCGAAATGATTAGCCGTCCGGTAGCCAAATGCCCCTTCGGCGAACTCTGAAACTCGATCTTGGAGTGATGAATCTTTCTCTCGGACGCGAACTCCGTGAGTGGAAATTTCCCAATTGGGAGAATTGAATGAACGGACCTTTCAAAGTTTCCGCTTCTTAGTTCGAGGGAAGGATCCCTGACCTATCACTTGATCTTCACCGTAGAACTTGAAAATTCCCACTGAAATATGATAATTATATACTTCATATTATATATATTTATATCCACACGCATAAAGCATATAAATATTATCATATATTTTATGCTGTGTATTTTACCAAAATATCTTAATTACATTATAATTATATGCAATTATATTATAATATATAATTATAATTATAGAAGAGACACACTATCAACGATTCATCTCGCGCTTCTCTTCTTCCCCGACAGGCATGTCCGGCTCGTGCAGCGTGCGCGTGTGCTGGAGAAGACTGCCGACATTCAGGGTGGCCGGGGTTGCTCTGGCGGCTTTGCACGAGGGCGCCGCGCTGATGCGGCTGGCGCAGCGCGGCGGCAGGAGACCGGCGAGGCTCAGACCGGCGCGACCCGATCTCAAACGGCCGAACAAGACGGACCTGGTTTACCTCGAGGACAGTCCCGATTACTGCGAAAGGAACGTCACGTGAGTGTGACTCGACCCGTCGTCCCACGCTATTGAATTACTCCGTCACGTTTACTTTTATCAACGCGCGTCAGGCAGTCCTCTCCTCAAGGCCCAGTCGCTCACGCGCGCGTTTTCAATGACGAGGCGGCGACACGCGAGTTAGTCGGAAAATCCTCCGACGATAAAGTCGCCGCGCGAGATCGTGGGAAAAAGCGGAGGGGGTGAAGGATGTTCCCTGACGCCTCTTTGTTTCTTCTCGTTTCCCTTCCGCACGGACGATCGGTCTCGCCGAATTATAACGCGGGGAGAAAGAAATTGGCTGAATTAACGCGATAACGAACGGACCGACGCGTTTTTCGTCGGAGGAAGTGGAGTTTCCGGTTCTGAAAAATCGGTGTTTCTCCAGCTTGAAAATTGAATGAATGAATGAAGTTTCGGAGTCTCCATTTTCTACAAGTTCACAGTCGAGGAAAAAATTACCGATCGGCCCTGATCTTCATATTATTTATTGTCATATTAATCCAATCGATTTCTGGCTCTTATGAACCTGGAATCCCGTTTTCTCACGATCCGAATTCGTTTCTTAAGAACCAGAAATTTCGTTCCCACCGATCGAAACGTTACGTTATAATTCAATCCATTTCTGCTTCTCATGGACCAGGAAACTCCTTATAATTTAAATTTCCTTGTAATTTAAATTAATTTCTTAAGAACTGCAAGTTTTTCATCAAAACGCGCTCGCCCCACGCGTCCACTCGGGCGATCTTCCTCCGCGTTCAACGAATCCGCATTAATCCCCTCTCCCCCTTCTCTTTCCCCTTCCCAGGCTCGGCATTCCCGGCACGCGAGGCAGAGTGTGCAACAAGACGTCCCTCGGCCTGGACGGATGCCGGCTGCTGTGCTGTGGCCGCGGCTATCAGACGCGGGTGCAGAACGTCACCGAGAAATGCAAGTGTCGATTCGTCTGGTGCTGTCACGTCAAGTGCGAGCTGTGCCGGCACTCGCGCGAGGAGTACGTTTGTAACTAGGCGCTAGTTGAATTTGTATTCCGCTACCGCGGCCTATCCTAGGAGTACACACACACATGCACACACACACAGGCACATACACATACATACACATATGTATACATATATAACTTAAGCGTGCGCGCGCGAGAGCGTGCCGCTCTCTCTCTCGCGCGCCCATGATCGCCACTTTTGCGTTGTACTGTTATTATCGCGTTTTACCGTCAGTCAGCCGACAGCCGTGAGAGGCTACGCGCGTCACGTCGACGCGGTTTTCTCGCCTGACAGTCCGCCGGACGGTCGATCCCGTTCTTCGGCAACGTCGGCTCGTACGGGCGAGCAGGACGGACGAACAGCGGACGTATTTCGTCCCGGTGGCTGCGTTCGGCGAAAACAACGGTCGTGCAACCGTACCGAGTAAGAATTATCTGTGATCGGCGCATGCTTTCAGATTTAAGGTGTAAGTACCCGGACGCGTACCTAACTCTCTGGACATCCTTATTGCTTTGGTCTTTATCTGTGAATATTTTGAACTTTCAACAATATGTTACATATTCCATATATATGTGTTATTCTATGTTGAAAGTTTAAATGTTCACATTTAAAGATGAAAATAATAAGAATGTTTGGAATCAGATACACAGAAATAAATTGTTTTAAATGGAGAACAAGTGTTCTCATATATAAGCAAGAATCTTATAATCTCAGAAGATTTTTAGCCTTGAAGTGAGTTCAACTAATACTTGCGTGAAATTCAATCAAATCGAGACCGAAAATCTAAGAAGATTATAATAGTCTCGCTTATATATGAGACAATATCTAGTCTTGATGTAAGACGAATTTGTTTTCCGTGTACGTGCCCAGGCATTGGTACTTTTATCTCGCCTTACCGATCACATTCATCTTCCAAGAGTCACTTGTGCCCGATTCTAATCGACGATTAACTTAACGGAATCGGCCAATCGCATCGATCAGTTCAGCTAATTGGCCAATGGCGATCGGTCAGTTCCCTCGAGTTGATCGTCGATTAGATTTAAGCCGTGATAGTGGAACAGGCATCGGCCGTTGTGTTCGCTGAAGGTAGCCGGTGTCGTTCGCACGATGCGACGACGTGATTTCGAACGGTCAGAGTGCGTCTCGATCCCGGGCAGCGACCGTGTAACCCTTCCCCGCAGCGGGAATGCGAAAAGTGAGAAGCTTCGACGATTTCGGCGATCATGTGACTCTTCAATCTGCCGAAGTGTGGCGCTCTTCGGGAAGAAAACTTCTCGTTTCTCACGTTTGCAACGCTACGTTCGAGTGGACTTCTCCGCAACGGCCGAGGTACTCAGTATTACTGCCATCGTAGGTGATATATAAGGTGGTCCACTTTCACCTCGCACGTCCATTGCCGTGTCCACGTCCGAACCCCCACATCCGCTTCCTCCACGTGGAAGTTGACGTTAAGGACGACGCATGACCGTGAGCTTGCCGTTGCGTGGCTTATCGGCCTGGCTCGACTGTCAGGTGTGTGTGTGTGTTGCATGTGTGTACATGTATGTGTGTATATGGCTGTGCGGCACTTTACTTTTGCGCGAACGTTAATGCATCGCAAGTCAGTGTGTTACTTTAATTTACATTTAATCGCGTAACTCCATCTCTACCCGAATGCACACGCCGCAGACGAAGGAGAAAGAGAAAGAGAGAGAGAGTGTGTGTGTGTGTGGAAGAGAGATTGATATTCCAAGGATGCATTAATACACATGCCACGCACATGTATGCTCGCTTTAGCACATCATCGGACCCGCGTGCGATCCGATCGCCTCGAGTCCTGGAGCGAAGCGGGCTGCGCCGCGAACGGCACGGGATCAAGCTTTTTATTTGCGACTATTATATATACATACATACATACATACGTACATATATATATATACATATATATATATTTATTTATTTTATACGCCTGCGCATATATAATTATGTATATGTAATATGTATTATATATAACATATTTATATATAATTATACTTATTCGATATGTATAATCGTGTATAATTTATGATATATATAATATATACACTTATAATATGTATAATTATATATAATTAATTATATAATGAATTAAGTATATAAATTGAATATACATATATATATTTAACGCGTATATAATACGTGCGTTTCGGTTAGACGTACGCATGAAACGTGCGCGTTCTCCTCGGGGGGAATCGCGGGGCAAAGATTTCCACGTCTGACTTTTTACCTAGACATCCGTTCGTGACGTATTTAACACTAGAACCGCCGAGCTTGGTGGGTAGAACCGCCATAGGCGCCAATTTGGCTCCTATTTTTGTTTTCGGATACTGAAAAGTTATTTTGATATTATCTCCATTATTTGGGATTGTATTCACATTTAAAATGATAAAAAGTCAGGGAGAACTATTGAGCAATCTTGACGGGAATAATACCCCGTCAATATTTCAAGAAAAATCCAATATTCAGTTAAATTCAATAAATTTCACGATATCTGATATTTCAAAAAATATTTCATTAAGGTTAAACATTTCCTTAATCCTTCATAAGGAACATTATGATTCACCTTGAAATATATCCAGTAATTTTCCCGTAATTTTCCTTTCGTCGACTTTACAGTAGCCTCAACAAAATATTTCCATCGGGAACAAAATTTGTAGGATTTATAGAAATTGTAAAGGTCGGCGGAGCTGAAATAGCACTATCGGCGGTTCTAGTTTTAAGTGTCTCGCAACGCTCGACATCGCGCCCTGGTGTGCCAATTTGTTATTTCTGCGCACGGCAGAGAGGAAGAGAGAGTGCATCTGTGAGTGTATGTGAGAGAGAGAGAGAGAGAGAGAGAGCGAGCGAGCGAGCGAGCGAAAGGAGCGTGACGACTACTCTTTCCGCGGGATTCTTTCGCTTCGTGTGCTCCAACAAATTTGCGTATGACGCGCATTTGTCTCACCGTGTATCGAGGTGACGACTTTCGTTGATTAGAAGTGTCTCACTGCGGTGTATTGATGCGCGCTCTCAGAGCGCTGGGTCCTTCTCTTCGGCCTGTAATACACGGAGCAAAGCGCGAGAACGCGCGAACGATGCGAGTTGTGAGGGAAAAGATGAAGAATGGGGAAGAAGGGGCGGTCTGACGAAGCGCGAATCCGCCTCGACTCGCGCGAATCGGGAACAATTCTGCCAATGAACGATGTATATAGTGTCACCGTTTTTCTAGGCTCTACGTCCACGATCGTCGTTGTGTATATATATACGAGAACCTTCGTCTTCGTTTAGGAGGAGGGGGAGAAAAAGAGAGAGAGAGAGAGAAAGAGAGGAAAGAAAAGTGATCGTCCTGAGTTTTCTCCGCGGCTCACGCGATTCTTGACTGATACTCTCGCGATTTTATCTCACTGTCACACTTCATAGTATACATATATATGTATAGAAATATATGTATATGTTGCGCATATGTGTATGTATGCAATACGGACCCGGCAGAACGGCGTTCTAGTCACTTACGAATTCTCCTGATTCATATCAGCCGACCCTCTAACACTCGTACGCTCGGACGACGAACGTCGCGCGTTAGATACCCCGTGCGTGCCGGAAGACGTAACGTGTACATCGTCCTTTTCTACCTTAGATAATACCGAGAGCACTGCGCTACGCGATGTCTTCTTAGCGGGATAATCGGCAACCTCCCGAACAGTTCGCTGAGAGAAATCAACCCGAACACCTTTCACACAACGTGTGCACGCGCACACACACACACACACGTGCATGTGTATTCGACTACGTATATACAGGGTGAGGCAACAACCATCGCCATCTTGAATATTTTTGAAACGGGAACAGGCGAAAAATGTGTCCAGAAATCGACAACTTAAATAAAATTAACTAATAATTAATTTAAATTTAAATGTAACAGAAATTGCATCGTGAAGCGCTCGTCTTATGGCTTTATGCCTTTTATTCGGCGGAGCAGCTTCAAAGACCCGAAGGCCATATTTGTTTTTCCAAGTGATACTTTATTCAAGGTAGTAATGGCTATTTAAGGTGACAGTGATCGTTTATATTATATACGTGCTCGCTTTATGGTCACACAAGCGCGCGCGCTCACATATACACATGGACGGGATTCACCATAGAATTTCTACACACATACACGTGCGTATCAAATTTATATTTCTCCAAAGCATCTCCGGACTAGAATTACGGCGGATCACGTTTATTCGATGAGCAACTCGACGACAATTCGAGACGATCTCATTATATCACGAGTACAGAATCATCGACACTTCGCGAGGTTGCGTAATCCGTAATGATAACGGCTTACTCGTTTAGAATACGGCCTTAAGGTAATAATAATAATAACAACAACGTGTAACAGATATCGCGATTCGTCCGTACATTGTTAAGGATCCTAGCGATAAACGTAATAATAACGTAAGCAACCGACGTAAGCACGCACGCACGCACTTATGCATGCACGTACGCACGCACCTACGTATGCAAGCACGCACGCTCGCGCCACGACGACGATATGCAGAGAACTCAGTATTGACAAACTGTAATTTATTTTCTTCACGATAATACATCACGTTATACTCCCGTAGTTCTTTCCAGTCGAATTATGCTCAGCTCGTTAATAATAATAATAGTAATAATTTGTTCTCGAGTAATGGTAACATAACAGTAAGTCATTCTCGTAACGATAATAATTATAATTAATAACAATAATAATAGTAATAATAATAATCTCTTCGCTAGCTATGACGACGAAAAGCCTAGCTCGTAACACTTGTATATTCGTATGTACCTGTATTCTACGTGCATTTATATATAGATATATATAAATACATATGCAGAAATGTCCGTACACAAGTGCAAGTATATTCGTGCGTACCGAGTCGCCCTCCCCCCTCCCTTCTCCGCTCGATCTAGCTATAGCAGCGTTAATATCTAGTTACCGGACCGAAAAAAAGGTGAAATAGCGATTGCTTCTTGACAGAAAAGGTGACAAAAAGTGACCCCTCGGAATAGTGAGCAAAAGTGACGTTTTTGTCCAATTTTGAAAATAACTGAGGCCATTTAAGCAAAAAAGTAACACTTGCCCTTTGTTTACAATCTTGCTTTAAGACGCAAGCAAATTGACCAATCACAGTTTATCAGAAGAATAATCACCCGTGGTTGATCGAATTGCTTACGGCTTATGTCTTAAAGCAAAGTTATAGACAAGGACTTACTCTTACTTTCCCAGATTTATCTTTTAATAACATATGATGAGTTTTTTTCACAGTACGGTTTGAAAGTTCATAACAAGGAAAGATCAAGAACGATACAAGTGCGTTTTCGGAGCAGTTTTATTAAGACAGCAAAAAAAAATATATATATAGAACGACTATATTTTACAGATTTAACGATAGAGCTAAAAAAAAGTGACTATAGTGATCCATTTTGAACGATAGTGAATTTTTTAATGACTAGTTAAGGAAAAGTGACAAAAAGTGACCTAAGTGACTGGTATTGAACTCTATACATACTAGAAGGTGCATACTTCAACACGCTGGCGATCGATCAGACAAAGATAGTTGACGATACCCATTCACCTATCTCTCTCACAGCTCTGATCGTTCGAAGACTAAGGGCCGATCTCAGTAACTCCGGTGAACTTAATCTATTAGGTCGATTAAATTTAAAAGTTGCAGCTGCAAAATTAACAACTGGTCATTACTAACCAATCATCACGACGACTTACGAGTTCTCAAAATCTTGTTGTCGGCAACTTTGAAATTTAATCGACCGAATTAGCTTTACCAGGGAATTGGTGGCCCAAAGGTGTGCTCTTTCCAATATGTACACAGGTTGCTAAAAAATTCGATCGACAATCTGAAAGGAAATGGGGGACTTCAGAATCAATATTTTTTCAATAGCAAGATCTAAACCAGAATCTACCTTTATTATAATAATAATATCTATAGATAAGAAAATGTTGAAGATAGGTGGAATTCGTCCCTACACAGAAACAGAGGAGGTACGAAATGGCTTAACGCAATCGTTTATTTCGAAGTCCTCCATTTACCTTCCGAGTTCGCGAATTTTTCAACACCCTGCATAGCTCAATGATGACTGAAAGGTAGTCCTGCCGTAATACCGTTTCCTCACAGCATGTGTCGTCCTTTCGACCTCTCCTCCTGGTAGGCGTCGATGACGCGTTGCAGCACCATGAAGACGACGCACGCGACGATCCCGAAAAGCAGGCCCAACCAGATCCCGGCGAAGAAGTCGCTGTCTTCAACGAAGGTCCTGGCGTCGCTGCTCGGCCTGAGGAACCTCTCGCTGCCACCGTTCTTGGTTCTGGCGACGTAGCCGAGCCAGTAGACGAGCCGGTCCGAGGCCGGGTTCAATCTGTCACGCAGCGCCAGCGAGACCTTACGCGCGTTCTCCCGGTAAGCCGCCGTTTCGTGAATCCTCAGCACGGTCTTCGCGAGTTCCTGGCCGTTGATGCGGGCCTCAACGGTGTGCGCGAAGCCCAGCTCGACCGCGCGCTCGCTGTTGCGCACCTCGTGCGCGTCCCGGGGCAGGCATATCAGCGGAGAGCCGTGAAACGCGGCTTCCAGGAACTCCGTGTCGGCGCAGTGACTCAACACCACGCGGGTCCGGCTGTAACCTGTGTGCGACAATGGACTGTTTATTGTCGTGGTGAAGGGGGAGGGGAGGGAGGGGAGACGCGAGAGTTGTGGGTCACGCTGTGTCGCGTTATTATTATCGCGCCCTTCGCGCGCTTGTTGAATTCAACGACGCCGCATTCGCCGCGCACGTATTCTCCGCCGGGCCGAGCGGAGTGACGCCTTTCGATTCTCGCGGAGTTTCCCTTTCGTTTCCGCCGTATACCGGGTATTCCCACGCGGCAACAATGTCTTCCCGAGAGCGAGACGGATTTCGCGGCACGTTCCTTCGCGGATTTACCGCGGAGGTTAATGGCTTACGAGCTGTTCCGATACCGCGCCTACGCGCTACGCTTTGTGATCTCGCCGTTTTACCGTACAACGTAGCTGCTGTACTATAAAGTAACTTTATAATATTATGTCATAAGGTTACTTTATAATATAGTAGATATTTATATATATATATATATATATATATATATATATATATATATATTTGTATAGAAGATTATTATATATATAAAAGATTTACTATATATATACTAGAGCAAACAATTTGAGTGGCTTCGAAAGAGTAATACCGTAGAAGGAAAATTGCTCTACAGTCATCCCTTTAATTTTTTCTTTTAAGTCTCCGTATAGACTTCAAAATATTTTTTTTCTTATGCTGGGACATCTTGTATATGTTATAATTTCATTTTCATATTAATTACAATTACTATACAATAGCGTAATTAGTCAAATTTGATGAAAGTTTAATTTTACCTATGAGATCTTGCCGGTCGACGTCGCTGTGGATAAAAAGATTCTCCGGCGATTCGGTGTTCTTGTTATCCTTGTTGATCCTCCAGACGACCGACTGTCCTTCCCTACCCTGAGGCAGTTTCCTCGCCAATTCTGTCACCAACGTCTCGTAATTTCCGTCTAAGAGGACAACAATGGTACCCAGTCTGTGCTCTACCAGTGACTTCTGCAAATCCTTCAGCAAAGGATGCGCGCCCCTGCAGTGGTGGCAGCCGACCTGAAAGCGGTTTCAAAGTGAGACCTCAAGCCGCAAAAATCTGGCGAAACGAAGAATGATCGAATTGGTCCGACGAACCTCTACGAGTAACTGCGTCAACGATGCGAAGTTCGAACGCAACACCGGGTCGGCTCCCCAGAGCACCAGGCGAACGTCGGAGTAGAGATGCTTCATGTTGGTATCGATATCCGGCAGATATTTGGCTACCAAGTCCAAGACGGGAGGCAGATAATTGTTCCTGGCGGCGGAGGATAAGGAATCCTCTACGCGTCTCGCTCGGAGCCTGGTCCATATCCCACCGCTGTGCATCGGCAGGGCGACTCCGGTGCTCTGAAACGCGTACACCTCCTCCTCTGGACTTCCTATCCAGATCACCGGGATAGATTCGATATGTCGCACCCACGGAAGTAAGCAGCCATCGTGTCTGAAAATATTGAGAAGGAACATGTACGGAAGTGAAAATATCTTCTCAAATATGCTCTGAAATATTTAACTCATGTTTGAGAGAGAGAGAGAGAGAAAGAGAGAGAGAAGAAAGAAAAGTGTGGAAATATTTACTTATTAAATTAATATATTTAATTAATATTGAAGATAAATATATATATAAGATTATATTTATTTTCTGTATTAAATATTATTTTCTTTCTTATATTTATCACATATATAATATTGACATATACATATTATTACACAATATTATTACAATATTATTATATACATAAATGTGAAAAATAGCAACAGGTTCAAATTAATAATTTGAGGATTGAGGAGAAGTGAAAAAAGGTATTATATAAACTAGCTAAAGGTGATGAAATTAAATTGATAAAGGCTTTTGCAAAAAACTACAACAAACCAGTACAGAGTTAGCATACCTTAATGCTGGGAATATAGTGAACGTGGGCTGCAATTCTTTCATTCTCTTGAGTACTTCTTGGTCCCTTAGTAGACTGTCGCATGCATTTACCGCATATGCTTCTTTTTTATGTGCTGCTTTATCTGTATTAACGTTCAGTTGCAATATTTCAACGTCGATCAGATTATTATAAAGCTTGTTAGCTGCGTGAGCTGATATTATCAACGTCGTGTCGATCCCCTGATCCGACAGAGTATTGGCGAGCAAAGATGCGTCATATACATTCTCAAATGCGACTATTAGGGCCGATATAGGTGGTGCTGTCAAAATAGAGCCGCTTGTAGACCCGAATAAGTAAAGACACACGTATAAAGTGATCGACGCCAACATTATAAATCTATTCAAAATATACATCTAACTTTCAATTTTGCTCTAATTATAAAATTCAGATGTGTGTCTCTTTGTTCCTCTCTTTCTCTTCTCCTGTCAACACGATTAGGCATGAAGTTTCAGTCCAACATGCTCTAATGCTAAAACATTGTTTTCTGATCAAATATAGCTCCAAATGTAAAAGTAGAGATCGTACAAACTCTACTGAATGTAAGTATAAATATTTATATTTGGATTTGATATTGGCACTTTATAAGTCCCTGGTACACAAATAGCGAATCTGAAAGAAAAAGAAAACATTTGTCAGCAATGTAACATTTGAGGTATCCAGAAATTGTCTCTTAGGATTTTAGCAGAATGGCTGATTTATTAGTTTAAGACAACATTTTATCAAGTCTTTGTCTTCAAGTAACGTGCAATGACTATCTTGTGTCTTAAACTAAAAAGCCATTCTATTTATGATTGATGGCAAGCCATTGTATGATATATAAGAAAAGTAAACAAATGATAACTTAGACAAAGATTTGGGGCATTTAACGTTGTCTTTAAATTACAAGTCAACCATTCTGCTGAGACCTTTAGCTTTCAGAATAAAGTCGTAAATAAACCTTAAGCAATCTCTTGGAAATCTGGAGAATCTCTTGGAAATTCACTGATATCGCCTGAAGTATAGAAGATACAATGTTCACTTATTGCTCTCCAAAACCCTCAATAACCAAATAGACTTTTACAGCCAGCAACATAAATATATTCATATGCATTGCTTCTCTGTGATTGCTCCTTGCACTATCATTGCGTGGTCACGGTGCGTGTCAACCATTGTTTGCAAACTTGTCACTGTCTGATAATACGAAAACTTATCTCCTCGAATGCGCTCTCGTGCGATTATAATGCAGCGTTTCCGACCCGGGGTAGGATTCAGCAGAGGCTCATCAACGCCAGCCGCAGCGCTTTATCGTTCCCAACGTGGGCGCGCATCGCACGAATCATCGCCGTGTCGCGCGTATGAATAACTCGCATTGAACGCAGAACCGTCGCGAGACGTCCGCCTGCTTGGAACGAGCGTGTAATGTACATACACACACACACACACACACTTCTCTCTCTCAGTGATTGTAGGCGCCCTTTCGAGCAAATTAGTGAAAGTAACGCACGAACGATGAATCGATGTCTGATTTCCGTTTCTTCTCGAAGAGTCGATGGTCTCCTCGATATTGTTAAACCAAATTATAATTCTGCAGGAAAAGGAAAATTAATTCCTGCGGCGAGAATCCTGTTAATTCAACGTTATTAGATTGTATGGCCGCAAGCGAATATGTGACAATGTAAATAATTAAGTATACAAAGACTACGTGAGGATATCTCACCTGAATTACATCTTTCGTGAAAAAATAAAGATACAAGCATGTCTCGCTTTGATTTTTATTTTTTAGTAATACAATTTGTTGTTGAATCTCAAGGGAGATCAAAAGAACTTCTCGGTTTTGATTGATAAATAGAGACGAAGTTTATCTGTGAGTCGTGGCTTAATCGATCTACCGAAGAACAAAGGTTCGACTTATCCATCGTCGAGTCTTACTACTGAAAAATAGATCTCCGTCCGACTTGTCGTTGAGACGTACTACTTCCACGATTCTCCAGTAAGGATGGTAGCGCTCGTAACGGGGACTTTCAAACTAATAAAAAGAACGGGTCAAATAATCATAAAAGGTCGAAATTGTGGATAGCCTATCTGGCGCCATCTATCGTCATCGAGCAGAAGTTAGTTCGCCTAAAGGGTTTGAGTCTCGGCTAAATGTGGCTCCAAACTCGCTTTCGAGATTCTAAATAAAAAAACGGATAGGAAATAAATGTGGTGCGAATTTTGGCTAAAGACGTAGAAAATTCGCTTCAAAGTCACCATTTTACTGAATGAAAAATCGAGGTAGTACGACTCAATGATGAGCCGGACGTACTTTAGTTCTTTATTCCAAGTATTACTACAGAAAGATAAAATCCGATCGAGATAGCTTTCGAAATAATTCAAACGAAGCATAAATATAACGTACTTGTAATGTTGATTTTATTTTCTCTTTTTATGGAAACAATACCACAGGTCGGGGAACTCGTGCGTGTCTGGGTTCGTAGAATCGTCGCTGATGTACGGTATATGCCAGCTGTCGGAGTTTTTCTGGCTGTGCGGCATGAAGTTGTATGGCGAAGTAATCTGTACATGGGGTCCCCTCGATTTCGTGAAATACTGATGCGAGCACTGCCACTTCTTGAACACCCACTGCAAGCGTTTGTCCTGCAGAAGGGACTTGTGCCGGCGCATCAGATCTGACGATACGAACATCGCATTTTCCCCGCTCGCCAGAGTCGCGTACAATAAATACGGATCGTCCATGGACCTGCAGTTTTACATGTACACAGTCAATGTGAGAAATTTCGCAACGTTTCTGGGAAGGAAAAAAAAAATATATATATATGCAAAGAAAGGAAAATGTAAGTAGAAATATAGGTAAGAAAATATAGACAGAAAGTATATTAATTTAGGAAAGAAAATCTATAAATAGAGATTAATCTTTTCGGAATTATTAAAAAATAAATCCTCGTGTTGAATACGTAGATAAATTTAATGAAAAGAAAAGGATTGCGATCTTTCTTTTAATGACCGACTGTAATATGTGACAGCTTGTATGTGTGGAATTTAGTTGCCGAGATTCGATACACTTACAAGTTGTCGGTCCAGAAGACGTACGCATGCTGCTGTACGTAGTTCAACATGGACAGCTTCTTCTGATGCTTCCGGGTTAACACGAGCACCTTTTGATCGCGTTTGACGAAATGCTCAACCACCATGGGCAACTGCAATGTGAAACGTACGAAACGATTGAGAAATTGCGCGATGATGGAAAATTCACGAGACAAGATTAATTCATGATTGATAAATTTAATAATTCGATAGGAATAGACAAATTATGGAACAAGTAACTTCGTGGCCGATAAATCGAATAACAATGATGTGAGGATAACGAAAGAGAACAGATTGTCGCGTTGCAAATACCAAGACGTCGAGGTGTTTCTTAACACGAAATATTTCGCACGTGCCATCATTTTACTAAAACGAACTCTCTCGTCGTTACAAATTACCGATCGTGGATTGACTTTCTTCATTGTATACGTTATATTGAGTCCGTCGATCACTATGTCGTAGGGTTTAGTCCTCTCGACGAACTCCATGAATTTCCGCAGCTCCCGTGGATTGGATGTAAAATAGATATCTGATCCTACGATTACCCTCTTCATAAAGGCATCCACTAATTCCTGGAAAGTGTCCCGGCTGAACTTCAAGTCAGACAGCGAGTAATGGCACTTCCCGCATTCTCCTCTAAAATTATAAGTTATATTTTGTAAAATTTTATAATCATAATTTCTACTAATGATTAAAAATTACACGAATTACAAGTTATCACTTAGTATCGCACAAACTTGTGAAAGCTATTTTCTAAACAAATCTACTATTTGTACTACATTTTAAACCACTTTAAAAACCACTTGTTTGTATCAAATAACTCACAAAATTACGATAAAAATAACGATTATGACCGATACTCAAGGTGTAATCGTATTACCAACGAAAAACGAGATAAGTAAATAATGATCATCGTTACAAAGCTTACAGAGGAGAGTGACTTATCAAACTGAAACGGTGACGAAATTGAAAAAGTGAAGATAACAGCATTACTTCCTCCAATTCTACACTATCATGCCATCTCTCTCTCTCTCTCTCCCTCTCATTAATATAATTAATATTATAATAAATAATAATTATTTATAGAAGCCACACGAAACGTGTGGCTGCGCGCGACTGTGCAGCAGCTTGCTGTGTGTCGGCGATTCCGTGAAAATGATTCCCACCTATTCGACAAGGATGTGGGCGCTGCGGACCAGCCGTGCTTGCCGGCGACTTCGGCGAAAGCGTTCAACACGCGTTTGTACGGCTTCTCGCCGTTTTCCGCCCAGAAGCTGAATATATCCTCGAGTCTGTCGTCGAAGAGCCCCTGGTCGGCACCGTGCTCGCAGTATTGCAGGTACGACGTGTACACGACATTCTGGGGCGTCAGTGCACGCGAGATTAGCCGCTGTGTCGCGTCCCAGCCGATGTCGGGCCTGTCGTGCTGGAAGGCCGCGCTGGCTATCATCGAGTAGACGGTCCTGCCCGGCTTCATGGTGAGATTGATCATTTCGAGGATCTTGATCGATTTCTCCCACTGGTCGGTCAGACACAGGCTGCTGATGCAGTGCTCGGCCGTGATCGAGTCCAAGCAGGGATACTTCTCCAACAGGGCGTTGCAGGTCGCCACGATGTCCTGCTTATCCGAGTCCGTCAGCGAGTCGCGCTTCAGGACGAAGAGCCGCAGGTATTTGCCGATAATCGCCACGTTCAGCGGGGCATGGCGCTCCTTGAGGAACTTGCAGTACTCCATCGCCTTGTCCAAGCGCTGCCCGTTCAGGCAGAGGTCTATGATGACGCTGTCGACCGTCGTGGCTGTCACCGGCCGGACTTCCAAGGGCTTCTGCAGGATGTTCTCGCGTATGTCCTGCCAGTCCTTGCTCGACAGCTCATCGTTCATCATTTTGTTGTAGAGCTCCTGGTGTGCTCTGATGAGTACCTTCATGGAAACCACCTTCCTGCTGTTTTCGACAAGCTCTGACTCCTCGTCAGCTTGCGTATTTTTGTCCTGCAAGTTCCGGTAGTACGCTCTCCTCTGGTACTTGCAGCTCCAGGCCCACAGGGACTGACACAGCCTGCGATACACAGCCATTGCAACTCGTATGTCTTCCTGCGATTTCCGTGGGAATTTCTGTAAGCTGAGAGATACTTTATCTTAAGATATATACATGTTATATACACCTAGATTAAAAAAAAAAGAAATATATATATATATGTATGTATATACATCTTTTTTTATTTTCCTTTAGACTTAAGAAACATTTATTTCCAGAGCAGATGTAAGACCGTGGAGATCCTAACCTCACTTAGTGTGTAAGAAGGTTGTCTCCACCGGACCCGGGGAGCTTTGAGAAAAGACTTGATCTCGCTGTATCGCATGCGAACAAGTGCTCAAGATAGCATCATTTTCCAACATTCTGGCGTTACCTCTTAACCTCTCCGAAGCATGTCGTCCGAAAGCAACGAACGAGCCTACCCCTCCTCTCAAAACTTCCCAATTTCCCTCTCGGTTGTCGGTGGAAAAGTCGCGCGACAAAAATTCGGTGGACAAATTCCTCTGAATTTACATTGAGGCGTGCGCTCCGGTGCACCGCGAGAGCGCGAGAGGTCGATTCCGATCGATACGAGGTCGATACGTAGATCGAGGCGATCGGTCGATAGTTTCAAGATCAGCCGGAGCCACGTAGTATTTCTGCACTCGGAGGCGGACATGCGGGATTCGCGATCCGTCGGGCGAAAGCCGGGAGGAAGCGTGTGCCTCCTACTCTACGGCGACGCCGGAGTGGGAGGGTACGTGAGGTGATAATGGGTGACGGAGCCGCGTTGATAAAGACGTCGTCAGATATCGCGCGGCCGCGGTCCGTACGTCGCCGTAAGCGCCGGCCGACAAGTCGTCGTCGTTGACGTTGCCGTAAGACGAGCAAGAACTCCCGCGACCACGGAACCTCGATCGTACGATCGACCCTTCGGCCGTCCCGGAGCAAACGAGAGAGTAGCAGCGTTCATCCGCAGAATCATTTGGACGTAAGTGCGCGGCGGTGAACCGCCGACGACGGGGACACGCCGTCGTCGACGCGCGTAGTCGTTGAAGGCGCGCTAACGTTGAAATAGCGGCAGCAGACGGTGATAATGCTTGGGAAAAATAAGGTTACTGCTCGATAACGAGATGTAACAGCCGCGATATGCCCCGAGTGCGACTGTGTCCGACTGCACTTGGAACGATCGCCGTTTGTTACGTTGAAATCGTTCTTTCAGAATATCAATCTGAATGTTGCTATTTCCCTCTCAAAATTCCACGCCACTTCAATTTTCACGTTCCAGTTGCCATATGTAAGCGTGTTGTATCGTATATCGTGCAATAACAATTTATAATATCATTATATATATCATATATCAAATATTATCACGATATATATATATATATATATATATATATATA